CTTTCCCTTTACTCATCTTTACTTTTTGAATATAGGAAATCTCTTGTATAACTTTCTGTTCATATTCTGATCTGGGCAAAAAAAAAGGTTTATGCCAGGGAAATGGCAACCAAAGCTTGAAAAGATGAGGAGCAAGGTGTAGTGTGTGCGTTTGTGCGTGTGTGTGTGTGTGTGTGTAACAGAGTAAGTTTCCTGGAGCCTCTGGAGGGAGGATTTCAGGAAAGCGAGAGTGGGGTGCTAACAGATGGAGAGAAAAGGAAGTAGAAAAACTACCACTTGCTAGCAAGTAGAAAAGGCAGTTTTCCAAGGAGAGGCCTAGTTGCTGACTCTGCACCTCAGAAGGTCTCCAGGCCAGAAATAAGGGGGAGGGAGGAGAACCTGCATGGAGAAATGTGGCGGAGGGCAGGGGAGGGGCGGGTGTCCTGATATTGGGAAGGCAGAGCGATGGTTCTGATGGGGCTGAGGATTATTGGTTCAATACTTTGCTGGCTTCTGCTTTTCCTCATTTCCAAAGCATGAGGTGGGTGGGTTTGCGTGGGAGTGGGAGGGAGATGGTGGATTAGGTTTTCGAGCAAGGTGCCAAATTTAAGAAGCAGAAGGGAAGCTGCTCCCTCCTCTTCTGGGACAGTGGGCCAGGGAAGTGGGGAGGAGGGAAGAAAGCAGAGTTTCTCTGGGCTTTTTCAGGAACCGCTGGCTGGGTGGCATTTTCCCTCCAGCACTAGAATTCCTCCTATCTGGCTTGGTGAGTTCAGGCAGCTTTCCTCCCTTCTCCTGCCCCTCCCTCTTTCCCCTCCCTTTCCTTTCCCCTCCCCCTGGGTCTCTTTGAGAATCCTTCCCCCCTCACGCATTTGGCCATTTCATGGCTTTCTTCTAATTTCCCCCAGAGCAGCTGGAGGAGGAGATTTGGGGATTTGAGGGACATCTTTGGAACTGTGTACTTTGTGGGGAAGATGGTACCCTTTCTCAGGCATCTGCGAGAATCGTGCTTAAAGTCAAAAAAAAGGGGTGGGGGGGAGGAAAGATGTGGGGTGAGGGAATCACAGCAACGCTGCTTGCTGCAGTGGGAACGGGTTCCATAAAAGAGGAGCTTTGCAAAGGAATTGACAGGAAGGCAGTTTCCCAAGAGATGCTCTCTTGACAGGTGATGTCTTCAGTATCTACCTGCTGGTTTCAATCCAGGAAAGGGGAATTTAAGCAAAACCTGCCCCTCCACCCCAATTCCTTGCACCTTTGCATCCCTGACTTCCCAGTTTGGGATTCAGCAGAACTCACCATGGCTAACTTGCCACGGGACAAGAGTTACACTAATACCAAAGAATTGGTGAAATAGAATCATTGAAGAAAGAATGCAAAAGGAGGGACAGATTGAAAGGTAAACGGCAAAAATTAAAACAATTTTTATTTATTTTAAATAATTAAATAGAATTGGTAAATTGTCCCACGGCGAGTTTTCCTGCGGCAAGTTGGCTATGGCAAGTTGTCACATTCCCAGTGCAAACCTCAGATATACAGTAAGTGGCCTCCAGATCAGTGTGATACCTGTGAATAAAATTTATTTATTTGTTTGTTTGTTTGTTTGTTTGTTTGTTTAAAATATTTATAAAACCTCCCAGAGTTGGTTGAAAGATGGGTGGCTACATAAATGTTATAAACAAAGAAACTAATAAATACATTTTGAGAAGCAGACATGGTAGTTCTGGGAATAGTGGGCTGAATTTGTAGATCCCATCCCAAATCCTGGATATGAATATAAACTCCCTTGAGTGACAGGAAGGTTGAATTCATTAACCTGAATAAACATTAGAGCTCTGTTAGGATCCTACCTTATCCACTTGGCCTTACAGTATATGACAGGTCAGGGAAGAGCGTCCCCCGCCTCTCTCTCTCTTTCTCTCTCTTTCTCTCTCCCTCCCTCCCTCTCTCGCTCTGTGATTAGGAGTGATAGGGTAGATTTTTGTAGCTGAGATAACATTATGCCTCACATCTAAGAAGATTCTCAGTCATCTAGGTCATAGTTGTATTAACACTGGTTTTTATTTTTGAAAAATAAAATAAAATGTTTCTTTTTGTGGAAGAAAAAAAAATGGGGGGAGAGGAATTTGACACCACGTATCCTCAATTTTGGCTTTTCCAAGATTACACACCTCTAATTCAGGTGGCCCTGAGGTCACAGATAAAACCCCAAGTAACCACAATGTCTCTCAGAGAGCATTAAGACCAATTGACTGCAAAGAAAAAAACACTCTCTTTCCATTCCCCTCACCACCATCTTGTCAGAACCTATCATTCCCCTCCCCCACCAACTAATCTCAAATGTCAATAACTATCCTTCCATCTCTCATACCGTCCTCATACCCTTCCTCCTCCTCCTCCTCCTCCCCCTCCTGTTTTCAAAAAACATTTTTGACACGAGTATGCCTCACTTTCCCTTAGGGGAATCTTTGGGGATCTCTTGTAAATCTCTGATTCATAACCTGGGAGAAATTACTGGTAGTTCGCTTACTCCTGTTGATAGCTGAGACCTTTTTGTGCAAATCATGTGCAGGCTATTTTGCTGAATAGTTTCTTTGCTTTGGCATCCCCCTCCCCCCTCCCCCCGAATAAATATCAAATCCATTAGATAATTCTGTGATCTGAATCATGATCCTTCAGTGGCAAGCTATGTGTGCTATTTGCATGCGCGCCGAGTGCTCATCCATCCCTGTATTTATCCCCTTCGCCCACTCCTCCCCTCCCACATGATCTACCCGTCTCTCAGACCCACCTCCCCCCCCCAAAACCTGAATCTAATATTCCAACCACGTTCCCACACAGTGCGGGAGCAACGCAGGCTGTGTCTTGCCGGTAACATTTTCAGGAGTGGATTGCATCATTTAAAAAAAATAAAAATTAAAGCTCTTCCCAAAGAAAGCCCTATGGTCTTCCCTGGGGAGTGGGGAGGGCCCGTGGGAATAGAAGATAATGAGATTCACTTTTGACTTTTTTCTGGAGATGCTTTTCCTCCAGTCTTGCTGTTCTCTAAAGAACCGGTGCAGTTTCACAGGCTGGCCCTTTCCATCTCTGAAGACCATGAAATAGCATTAATTACTTATTCATTTATTCATCAGCATGACAGAGATGAAGAGGGACAAGGATACCCGATTCTCAACCAAACTTGTTTGGTCATTATCACATGCCAGTAAAGCCACCTATGCTTTAGCCAACTCCCTCCCTCCCTTTCCCCTCCCCTTCCCTCCCCCACCTCTTTGTTTTCCTTTTCCTTCCTTCCTTCCTTCCTTCCTTCCTTCCTTCCTTCCTTCCTTCCTTTCATAGGGTTGCAGGATTACATATCCATGGAGATGGTTTCTGCAGATCCTAATGGGCTATTTCTGAGAAGAGATGGGATCTTTCAAATCAAAGACTTGGGCTGGACCTCAAAGTTTGTTTACTGACTTCTGAAAAAGACCTCTGCAGCTAAGGCAGTTCTTTGGGGTGTTCTTCAGCCTCTGCTGAAGACACCTCTAAGCCAAGAAGAGTTTCCCAGTTCGGTCCTCTGCTAGACAAACTTCACTACCCAGAAGTCCTTTTTAATATTTAGTTGACGTTCCAAGACCATTGATTTGCATCAGGGCAGGTGAACACTATTGGAATTTCAAGTGTATAAGTGTATGCTATAGAGACATTCACTCAAAGTAGCTGCCATAACCAGCAACCTCACTTCCTTTATTTTTAAGGAATTCCAAGGGGATATTGGAGAAACATTCCTGAAAATCAAAAAGCTTGAGGCCACTGCTTTGCAAGAGTATTTCATGTTTTTAAAAATTCTAATAAAATGGGAGCACATGTAGAGCTTATGCTGGAAGGAAGATCTGCAGGTATATTCAAAGTCAGACACAACACATTAAGAAACAAACCTAAGACTTACATTTTATCTTCTGGAGCAACAGAAAATAAATTGGTTCAGTCATCTGTGGGATAACCTTTTGAATGGTGGAAAATGGCTTTCAGATCATCTCTTAATTATCAGTCACCCAACGGGGATAAGCAAAGAGAGGATTTTGCATGGTGTCACCTATGCCAGAAAGTAGCTTTTACGGAAGGCTAGGGATGGCTATTGAGAGATTGATGACAGGTCATTTTGTGGTGAACTGTTGTGCAGATTTAACAGGCAGAAATAGCCAAAGAATCCTGTGTAATGCCTGGAAGGAAATGCAAGCACTTTTGTAAAGATAGTAGGGAAATATAGTTAAAATAGACAAAAGGTCATTTTGACGCAGAATATATTGCTGCTGGGAATCAGATCAATAGATGAAACTTTATGCAATTTGCAGAGACAGAAGTTTTTTAAATATGCTAGAAAGCTACGGCATAGAACATAGAATAATAATAGAGTTGGATGGGACCTTGGAGGTCTTCTAGTCCATCCCCCTGCTCAAGCAGGAGACCCTACACCATTTCAGACAAATGGATGTCTAGTCTCTTTTTGAAAGCCTCCAATGATGGAGCTCCCCAGCTTATGAAGGCAATTTCTGTTCCATTGGTTGATTGTTTTCACCATTAGGAAATTTCTCCTTATTTCTAGGTTGCTGGTCGTTTTGGTTTGTTTCCATTTGTTTTGTTTTCTTGCCTTTCGGTGCTTTGGAAAATAGTTTGTCCCTCTCTTCTTTGTTGTAGCTCCTCAAATATTGGAACCCTGCTATCATGTTATTCCGGGTCGACGTACCCAATTCCTACAACCATTCTTTGTATGTTTTAACTTTCAGCCCCCTAATCATGCTTGTTGCTCTTCTCTGCATTTTTTTCCACAGTCTGAGCATCTTTTTTATATTGCGGTGACCAAAACTGGATGCAATATAAAAGTGTGATCTTACTGTGGCTTTGTAAAGCGGTACTAGAACTTCATATAATCTTGATTCTGTCTCTCTATTAATGCAGCCTAGGATTGCATTGACTGGCTAATTGGCAATAGGCACTTTGATCCACTGCTTTTTTCATGTTTTCCCCTCATTTTGAATCTATTCATTTTTTAAAATTGTAATTGTTCAGCTTCATTGTCAATACTTTTTGTTACATATTGGTGGTACTGAACATATAAGCCAAATATTTTACTGGCAATTAACTATATTTTACAACTAGGAATGCTTCTGAACGTGGAGTCCTGGATGTAGGTAATCCTTCACTTCAGTCCTTCATTTAGTGATCATTCAAACTTACAATGGCACTGGAAAAAGAGTCCTCACACTTATGACAGTTGCAGGATCCCACAGTCACATGATCAGAGTGCTTGGGAGCTTGGCAAGTGGCCAAGTGTATTTGCAACAGCTGCTGTATTCCAGGGTCATGTGATCTCTCTTTATGAATTTCTCGGCTGGCTTTCAACAAGCAAGTCAATGGAGGTCATCTGGATTTGCCTAATGACCAAGTGACTCATTTAACAACTGCAGTGGTTTACTTAACAGCCATTGCAAACAAGGTAATAAAATCAGGTGTGGCTCACTTAACAACCGCTTTGCTTAGTAATGGAAATTTTGGCCCCAGTTGTGGTTGGAAGACAAGGACTTCCTGTAACTGATAACACAAGGGATAGCACTATGGATTCTTTTCAAACTCTACACAACAGAACGTCCTTTCTGACCCAGAACCATCACTTCCTTGATGGTCCCAAAAAGCTACAATGAAGGTTATAAATTTAACCCACCTGGAGATCAAGGAAGTGATGGCACCTGCTGATTTAGCTGTTCTTCACATGTCCAATGATTTTTGACTTACGGCCACAATTAAGCCCAAATTTTTCTGTCACTAAGCAAGGCAGTTGTTAAGTGGGTTTGCCCCATTTTATGACCTTTCTTGCCACAGTTGTTAAGTGAATCTTTGCAGATGTTAAGTTGGTAACACGGCTGTTAAGTGAATCTGGCTTCCCCATTGACTTTGCTTGTCAGAAGGTCCCAAAAGGTAAACATTGTCATAAATTTGAGCCAGTTGCCAAGTATCTGAATTTTGACCACGCGATCCTGGGGATGGTGCACCGGTAATAAGCTTGAAAACTGGTCACGGGTCACTTTTTACAGTGTTGTTGTAACTTTGAATGGTCACTAAACAAGTGGTTGTTAAGTCAAGGACCACCTGTAAAATATCTACCGTCAGAATCTATAGATTCCAGGTGATCAGCAACCATACAAACAAAATCCATGATCAAATCACTTTCTTCTGTATTATATTCTTTTTATATAATGATTGTCCACTGTATAGAAACTCCCATCAATAATGTCAATCATGGGTGTCTACATTTTAATGCAAACTTTTATAAGAAGACTGGCATTTCTCTGTCTTTTCTAACAGGGTTCTTATTCATTCCAAGTGGGTGTTGATGGTCTAAAAAGACTGAGAATAAAAATTAGGATTGGAATGAAATGTATTTTTCCAAACCACTCAAGAATTTGGTGAGATTTGAAAGAGTAATTGGTTTCTGGCTCAGGTTTCCTTAGACAATAATCTAAGATTCTCCTGCTACTATCAGAAATTCAGGAGGAATGAATTGCAAAAATGAGAAAATAATGTCTAAATGCTATGGGATGAATTATGTTCTGTTAACATCTGATGCACCTTTTTTGCCTTTATGAAGTTCTTAAAAGACTCTGAATTCTACTTCTTTTCAGTCGAGTATATACTCTTTGGTTATTCATATTAGTTTCTCCCTGGGGTATTTTTGCATCTGCTAGTTGCACTGGATTTCTAGTCTTTGCTTCAAGATCGTAACATAATGGAATGGCCAGTAATGTCTGGAAAGATAAAAATCTGATCAGCAATGCAGTAAATGGCTGGTATTGATATATGGAAATTGCTCCCAGATCAGATACCTGATACTTTCATTCTCCCCTTCCAAATCCTCCTCAACTACTCCTCTATTTCTAGAATTATTCGGTTTCTTCTAACTTACATGTGAGCAGGAACACAAATCCTATTATTGATCTTGTGGCTTGGAGATTATGGCTGTTGTACCCCTATCTGAAGTAGGAGTAAGGAGTACTGAATAAGGAGAGTTAATTGCTTAGAATCTAAGGAGTCCCATAACAATTACATCTTCATTCCCAGATGACAGAATGCCTAAAAAAAACCCCATTGAATACTGTACCTGGCTCTATTTTTATTTCTTTCTTGTTGTACTTGTGCTATAAAATTCAACCATTTGCTGTTCTTATTTGCATAATATTGGAAATCAGTTTGCACTTCACATAGAAATCTCAGTGGGCAAACCACATATTTATTTATATCTTGCCTTTATTATTTTTTACAAATAGCACATGGCAGCAAATACATCCAACCCACCTTCCTCTTCCTATTTTCAGCAACAACCCTGTAAGGTGGGCTGGCTGGGACAGAAGGATAGACCCAAAGTCCCCCAGTTGGTTTTCATGCCTCGTGTATCCAGCCTCCACGTCAACACATCCAGCAATGTGAATCTGCCATTTATGTCCGTCAATGATGCCACTGTTGAACTATTGAAGGTTTCCCCAATATTCAGTCAGAATCCACTTGCCCCAACCTTACTCCATGACTTGCATTCTGGAATGGAGAAGAGTGGGCCTCAAACTTTGTTCTAGCTGACTCTGGTGAGTGTACTGCCTCCTCCCTTAGTCTTGAGAAGACTCACATTTTTGAGCTCTTCACCTTTATTGCATACTCTGAGCCTTTTCTAATTCCACTGAATCTTGCCTCATGTGATGCCCAGAACTCAACATGGAACTGAAAGGAGAAATCCAAAGTCAATTGGTTATTGTTTAGGCAGCCGAGACAGAAGATTCAGACAGGGCAGGCAAAGTAAAGGCAAAAAGACACCAGGAAACAGGACCCTGGATAGCTCCCCCAAATCCTACTGGCTGAAGATCTCTCCTTCTAGGGTAGGGCAACCACTGTGGCATTTGCTTAATGATCGGGGCATTCGCTTTATTTCCACTACACAAATGGTCATAAAATTGGGTGTGGTCACACAGGGACCTGCTACGGTAACCACAATTTATGACTGTAATTCTGGATTCAATTATACTCATAATTTGAGGACTCAATTGTAATCATTTTGGGAGGAGGGCAGGGAAACATTGGACCTGAATGGACAGTCTCAGTTCCTGGACAGTAGGATATATGGACTTTCTGAAGGCTGTTTGTCCTAAAAGGTGGAGAAGGAAGCAGAGATTTAGTTTGGTGAGCCCTGATCCACCCTGGTTGTGAGGAATCACCTTCCTAGAGTCTTTCAATGCATGCTGAAATTACAGGGCACAAGGAATAGTTGCAGATATTCAGATAATGGTGTGTTGTTGTTGTTTTTGCACTGGAACACAGTAGTGGGAATTTGCTGGATATCATACTGGAAAAGACTGTTTTAGATAAATGGTGTTTTCAAATTCTCTGGGCAGATTTAATCCACTGGTGACAGATATGAACAACCAGGCCCCAGGTGTGTAGAATTCAAAATAGTTACTCGATTGATCTGTGCCTATTTCATAGGAATCTTCCCAGATTGGTAGATTCACCTGGCAAAAACTAGATGAGGCTCAATGGCATTCAAAGACAGTCAGACTTTACTATCTTGTGTTTACCTAATGAGTCCATGCTAATTCCCTGTTTGATCCCTCCTCCCTACTGGGATGGTTGCTGTCCAACAAAACTCCGGGAGGAAATCTTAACCAAAGTAGCTCAGTTTACACTGAAAATTAAATTCCTCCAGATGATTTCTATTGCACTTAGTTAGATTTCTTTTACTGTGGACTTGTTCTAGGATCTTGAAAAATTGTCTGAACTAAACAGCACTCAAAGCAGGCTCATGTACAGGTAGTCCTTGGGTTATAGCAATTCATTTAGTGACAGTTCAAAAATACAATAGCACTGAGTAAAGTGACTTATGACAGTTTTTCACACTTATGACTGTTGCAGCATCTTCATAGTCACATGATCAAAATTCAGACACTTGGCAAATGACTCGAATTTACGACGGTTGCAATGTCCCAAGATCAGGTGATCCTCCTTTACGACTTTCTGACAAGTAAAATCAAGCCAGATTCACTTAACAACAGTATTACTAACTTAACTGCAGTGATTCACTTAACAACTTGGGGCAAGAAAGTTGTAACATGGGGCATAATTCACTTAACAAATGTCTCAGCAACAGAAATTTTGGGCTCAATTATGGTTGTAAGTTGAGGATTGCCTGAATTTTTTTGTGATTAGGATGAACTTACCAACAGTTACAAAGTGAGTTGCTTTTGGTGGATGTGTCATAGATGCACACCTTACAGCGTCTGTCAGTTAATGCAGAATGGATAAAGGTTACCTAGTGGGAGGTTGTGTATCTTTAACCTCAGGTGCCATGTTGCCCTTTTATTGATGGTCTCGGCTGATTAACTCATCTCCGTTGTGAGACAAAGGTTGCGATTCAACTGAATGGAATCAATAATGCCACTGTATGAAATTAAGGTGAGGCTACAGTTGGAAATGCTGCATTTTGGTCACTACAGCTCCAAAGGATACCTCATAGCCAGGGAGATATGCTAAAAAGAGCAATGGTATAGGCAACTGCTTATAGCAGTTCTTCTATGAGCAAAGCCTGCAATATTGGAGATTAGGAGAGTAAAGAAATTTGAGAAAGGGAGATGCAGTCATGTATTATAAGGGAAAATGTATCTAGAGCAAAGTTGTTTTCTCACAGAATTCAGAGTCATCCATTGAAACCAAATGTGAGCGGAGGTCTCTTTTGTTTGAAGATCTTTCTGGTCCAGGTTGGTTTAAAACAGTACCAGGTCTAAAAATTCTCCTGCTATTTTTGTCTAACATTTCACATCCTGGTTGATAAAAAGAGTTTTTTCTTCTTTGGTTTTAAAGGAAAAGTTTGTTTATGTGAGCTGCTCATATGATGTGGCGCTTTTGCACTTAACAATGGGATGGCCAAAGGGACAGTCTGAATGCCTAATTTTAAGCCATCTATTAAGACAGGCTGGGAATCGAACCTGGGCAGTGCAGGGAATGCACTCGCTCTGGCATTGGGCTCTGGTCTATTTCGTGTATGGCAAGTAGAACAGAACTAATTCTGTATGTTTAAGTGGTGAAGTAGGAATGAGATTAAGCCTTTGGATTAGCTTATCAACTCCCATATTTAAAGTCAGGCACACTTTCAGAAAAATGCATCAAGTACTCATTCATTTAAATGCATCATTTGCAGTAGCTTCCGGTCATTAGCTTCCAGTTGGAAACGGGTCACAATTAATAGCCGGAGAGAGATGTTGAATGCCTTGAAAGCCTTCTATCTTAGTTAGTGAAACAATATCATACTAAATAGACCTGCGCTTATGGTCAGATCTGCAGAGGGAACCGCCATGGCATTTGTGGGTGGGAGAGAATTGAAATAGTCTGCATGAATCTGCGAGCAGCAGTCTAATCTGAACCATGTTTAGTGAAGCAGGTTTGAAACCATAAGATTTCATAGAATTATAGGGCTGGAAAGGACCTTGGAGGTCTTCTAGTCCATCCATCTACCTCAGGCAGGAGTTCTTATATCATTTCAGACAAATGGCTTTCCAGTCTCTTCTTGAAAACCTCCAGCAATGGAGCCTCCCAAAGTCCAGGAGTCAAACTGTTCCCTTGATTGTTTTCACTGTCAGGAAATTCCTCCTTATTTTCCAGGTTGGATCTCCATGACAAGCCTCCATCCATGATTCCTTGTCCTACCCTTGGGTGCTATGGAGAACTCAATGCCCTCTTCCCTGTGGCAGCCCTTCAAGTAACAGAGTTCGAAGGCATCTTGGATATTTTCTAGGCCAACCCCCTGCTTAAGCAGGACATCCTATAGCATTTCAGAGGTTGTGCAATCTCTTCTTAAAAACGTCCAATATTGGAAGAGATGATAGGAGAGATGATACCAATCTTTTAAGATTTGAAGGTCTGCCACAAAGAAGACAGAATATATTTATCCTCCACAATTCCTGTGCGGTCCAGCCAGTGTATGGGAATTGGACAGTTAGTTAGCAATTGTGAGCTGTCCCCTTAAGGGAATGCATCATGGTAAATGTAGTTAAGGTAGCCTGGGAAATGCAGTCCATGTCATGTGACCACATCTGTAATCCTGATTGGTCACTAAATTGACCCTCAATGGGTTGGTGGGTGGGTTCTTCACTCTTGCCTGAACTCATGGACTCGTGGTAGCTGCTCTACCTCTACCGCTATGAGATGGGAGGAAAGGGATAAGGAGATAACCATCTTTTTACCTACAAGACAGATATGCAAAGGATTGGACATTAAGAAGAACTTTGTCACAAATGTGAGTTATGAGGATACCTGATGAACCAATAATAAAGACTTTGTATGAATGTTTTGAGTTTATCTATCTACCTCTGTAGAGAAGACAAAATCTACCACTGTATAGTATACAGAACAATTCCTAACTGGAGGACCATGGGTGGAAACTGCAGATCCAAGCATGGAGTAACAAGGAAGGTCCTAACTGTGCAGCCATTAAGCAATGGAACAGTCAGCCTACTGGGATCACAGAAGCTCCATCATTATGGGTAGCTTTTAAGCAAAACTTCTGTGGGATGTTCTGAGAATTCCTGTCATGGACGGGGTGACAGGCAGCCAGAAGTCCTAGCTCCATTCCAACCCTATGATTCTATAATGTGATTTATATTCCCAGGCGGCGTATTTGGGTTTCGTGGTTTCTTGATCGATGAACCCAACATTATGGACTGTAGACTGTAATTAATGGCTTAATACAAGTTATGAATGGAAGTTAGTTGTTGTTGGAATGAAGGCAAAACAGCACAGGGGGGACTAAATTTTAGAACACTCACAGAAAGAAATATTGGGCAAGCAAGGAGGTTTGAAAGTTACAAAGATTTTTTTTTGCCGAAGAATGTGGTACTTTAGATCTCTCCCCCCACCCAGAAATAGCTTGAAATATCTACGAGGGCCTCATGTTTGGGTAGTCCAGCAATGTCTGTGTGTTTTAACTATGGTTATTTAAAGCATGTTTCCTTCTCAAGGCAACGTCCGGTGACATGAGAATCCTGAGGTTGACATGGCGTCGATGATGGCAGCCTTTGTTTCAGCTGTGGCACATCACAGATGTCACACTATTCCACGAGTGACTAAGAGAAGGGAACGTTTGTGGCTCAGAGTTGAAGTGCTCTCTGACCTCGGTTGTTTCCTTGCAGACGTTTCATTACCCAACTAGGTAATGTCATCCCTGCTAGAGAGTGAGCTAATGAGTGACTTCCAACACTTTCACAGCTTTCCATATGGGCTTCTCCCCAATTGAAGTGGTTTTGTTACTTCAAGTGGGGGTAGAAACACCCCCCCCCCAGTAGAAATATCCTGTGGATAGAAAAAAAATAGCATCTTCTGTTTCCAAGCCTAGTTTTTTTTGCAGGGGAGATGATGGATGGATGGATGGATAGATAGCTAGATAGCTTGATTGATTAGAGAGAGGTAGATAGATAGGAGATAGATTGATAGATTGATTAGAGAGGTAAATAGATACAGATGATGATAGATATAGACAGATGATAGATGATGATAGCCATATAGCTATATAGATGGATAGATATGGAAGATGATAAATGATAGATAGATGCGGGATAAGGATAGATAAATAGATAGATATGAAGGAGGAACAGAGTTTAGATGGAGGAGGGACATACTGGACGGTTCAGCCGAGGAGTCTCCTAGGGCTGCAGGTGCAATCGAAGAGGTGCAGCCCAGGGGGTTATGGCTGGGTTGATTTGGACCTGGACAGGCAGGAAAGAGACAAGGAGAGGAGCCGCTTCTCTTTCTCTCTCGCTCCCCGGGCATCCCGTCCCCCCACCATCTCGCACGCTCGCCTGTGAGCGGACCGCCTCCTCCCGGGGGGTCGCCAAAGGGATCCGTCCCGAGCGAGGGCGCGAAGGGAGCGTCCGCGGAGGCGAAGACCCACCCGGGGAGCGCGGGACCGGCGGCCGCTTCCCTCCCCGGCGCGCGCCCCTCCCGCGCGCTCCCCGCCTTGCCTGGACTTGGCCCGGCGGCGGCGGCGGCGGCGGCTCCTCGGTGCCTCAGCGGCGGCTTCGGGTCCACGCGAGGCAGGGAGCGCGCGCGCGCCCCCCGCGGCTCCCTCCCGAGCCCCGGCCGCGCGCCGGCCGCCCCCTCCCTGCCTCCCTCGGCGGCGGCGGCGGCGGCGGCAGCAGCCCCCCTCCCTCCCTGCCTGCCTGCCTCCCCCCTCGGCGGCGGCGGCGGAGGCGAGAGCCGCGGGCCATTTCTTCTTAGCCGGCTGCCGTCGAGCATGGTGGCTGTATGGACAGTCTGGCCGAGCAGCGGTTGACAGCGCCCGGCCTGCCCGCCCCGCCGCACCTGGAGCACTACAGCGTCTTGCACTGCACCATGACCCTGGACGTCCAGACGGTGGTGGTCTTCTCCGTCATCGTGCTGCTGCTGCTGGTCAACGTGATCCTCATGTTCTTCCTGGGCACCCGCTGAAGCCCGCCCGCCCGCCCGCCAGGAAGGGGCGCGGGTCTCCCCTCTCGGCCCCCGGGCTGCCCTGCCCTGCCCTGCCGGGGCCCTCCGCTCCTCCGCGGGCCGCCGCCGCCCCTGACCCCCCGCCTGACGCCGGCCGCCCCGAGAGCCAGTCCGCCTGCCCGCCCGCCCGCCCGCCGGCGCGGAGGGGAAGCCTCCCGGGCCCGCCGCGGCGGGGCCTCGCTTCGCGGAGGGGGCTCGGAGCAGCCGCGCGATTCAACATGGCCTCGCTGTGAGCTGATGACGTTGGTACCTTCTGCCTCGCTGGCCGGGTCTGGCCCCCGCCGGGTCCCCCTCGGGCCGGACGGGGGCGGGGTGGGGGGTGGTCGCGACGGGCTGGGCGGGGGGGGGGGGGGTTGGAGGCCTCCGCGGTCCCCCGCCTGCCTCGCTTCCCCCGTGGCAAACTCCGCCGGGCGCCATGCATGTCTGCGTCGTACACGGGAGCGTGCATGCACACAGAGCTCCGGAGGGACGGGCGCACGTGCTGCATGCAAGCCCGGCTGAGCTCGGCCGCCCCGCAGCTGCCTTGGCGCTCCTCGCGAAGCTCGGCTTGCCTCGACTGAGGGAGGGTTGCGGTTGTCCCGCGAGGTGAAACCAACCCGGCTAGTTCCCTTTCGGTCAGGTTTAGGAGGCGGACTCTGAAAAACCAGGGAATTCAGTCGTGGAATGAAGCGCCTGGTAGGAATGCGCCTGGCTTCCTTTATACTCTCTTTTAGGCAGGGTCGGTGGTGGATTTTGTGTGTGTGTGTGTGTGTGTGTGAGTGTGTGTGAGTGTATGTATGTATACCCATGTATACCCATGGTATACATAAGGAAGAGTGTAAGTACTGTTCTTTTACATCATATTACATTACATCTATTACATTATTTCATAGCTAGATCTGTCCAAATGATCTGATGTAAAAGAAGGGTACTTAAACTCCCAGTAGTGTACATTTGTGTACGTATGTGACTGTGTGTGGGTGCATATTGAATACCCAATTTGCTGACTGAAGAGGAGCTGCTCCTTATAGTGCTTACAGAAAAGGGTCTTCAGAGCAAAGGCTACAAGAGGTTGCCACGTTGGGTGTCTGTTGGCCGGCCTGGGAGATGCTAAAGGGAAAATGGTGAACAGCTTGAGCCACAATTGAGGGACTGGGCTTTAGCAAGCGGTGTGTGTGTGTGTAAGAGTGTGCGTATATGTTGTTTGATTCTGTTGCCTTGACAGCGTGACTTGAATCCCCAATCTACCAACATCCTTCCTAGCTTTTTGGGGGCTATTCGCCTCAACAGGCTGAAAATGCAACCAGCTACTTTGCAAGTTTCCCCCTTCACAGATGAGTACAAAAAAAATAGTGGGGTTTGATCTTTTTTTTTTTTTACAATTTCCCTTTTATTCCTTTTTAAAATCAAAGGAAGCGGGAAGAGGGAGTAAGATGTAAATCTTGAGCAGTTGCAAAAGTAACCTGGTGCCTGGATGGGCTGACTTTAATTGACACAGGTTTCATTCAGAACAGAAGTCTTGAATTGCACCTTACCAGATAAGCAAAAGATTAATTGCATGTCAAAAGATGCCCACTAATTTTTCTGTTAAAAGTGGTCCAAAAAGGAGAAATATATCCCCCACGAGAAAGAGTTTAGAATGGCAGGGGGTGCACAGGAAAACCACAAGGGTTGCAGTGAAAGCATTGCTTTTGGTGGTATGCCTCTCTTCCAATTTGGGGTACTGTTGCCTTTTCCTTTTGAAATATTTCAAAAATATCTCCCTAGTGTTGCTGCAGAGCAAACATTTCCAAATTATCACTTGGCTGCCATAAATTATCAGGGCTACCCACCATAAAGCTAAGTCTAACCAGGTACAATCAGGAATGGTTTCCCTATAGACAATATAGCACAGAGCAGGGCAGATTTAAGCATCTGGAAGATGGGTTTTTTTTTAGGATTTAAATATAAGCTAGCAACAATTGCCAATGTTTAAAGTAAAGTACAAATTATTGAACTGTGTTTAGCAGCGGTGGGCACGAATGGAAGGGGAGGTTTTAAATAAACATTTTTAATTTTAATTTTCATAAATGTATCATACATTTTATAATAAAAAAATAGTAGAGACTCTTTAAAGTGGTTACTTCAACTTCCAACTTTTCTTCTTGCTTTTGCATTGGGAAGGTGATCAGAAACCCCGGGACCAGCCTGAATTTTCTGCAATTTCAAATAAGGGGTGTTTTGAAATAAATAAAAAGACAGATAAGCATCTTAAGCTGTTAGAGCCAGAAGGAAGGTTAGGAGCTGTGTACCTAAAGAGATATGAATCACCAATCTGTCTATGGCTGAATGCTATTAATAATAACAATTATTGCTTAAGGACTTGACGAACGTTATATTGTAATAGAAGCTACAGCTTGAATTGCCAAGGACCTGGGCTTCTTGTAGACCTTTGTAAGAGTATTTACATACAATCTGTCTCTTCTTGCCCCTGTATTGATTAATACAGACATAGAATTTAACACAGAATTATAGAGTCTTCTAGTTCAACCCCCTACACAGACAGGAGACCCAATATCATTTCAGACAAGTGGCAAATTAGACAAATGAGCTAGACCTTAGGGAGATCTTTAGATTCAGACTTCTCTTTTTAGGCAAAAGCTGGTTATGTTTCTTCTTTTGATCTTGGATCGATTGAGCTTGAAGGAGTTGGGAGAAGGAAGGAATCTCCGAAGGTTAGCTGTGTCCATAATAGCAGTGCTGAACATGTTTGCCCCAAAATATTGCTTTAAGGTTCTGCTTGGTGATGAATCAGTGCTACCGTCAGCATCATGTTGGTGGGCAATTCACTAAGTGTGTGTGTTTGTGTGTGTGTTTTTACACCTCAGTTGCCCCCCCCCTCCTTGTCCTATCCTTTAAGCAACACAAATATCCAAAATATCCAGGGTTTACATATGCTGATAAAATGCACGCAAATGGAAAGCTTCTAGATTGTTGCAAACTGCCAGCTCCTGTTGTAAATTTTAACCTGAGTTTTAGAGAAGCCCCAAAGCCACAATGGTAAAAAAAACAATTGATGTTTGGCTTTCACAATGACAGATGTAGTTCTGTATTCATACTCTAACTATTGGGGCTAATAGTAATGGCAGAATACTCTGAGGGTGGATGAGATTTTTGTGGAGAGCTTTGCACAGCATCCTGTCTCAAAAGACTCCAAATCCTCACCTTGGCCTAAAGAAAGAATCCCTGAAATCAACGGGGCTTTTCCTTAAAGGCAGCTGATGCCAAACCACAGCCCGTTAAAGGCCGTCTGGAAAGATAGAGCCCCAAAGACCAAACCTAGTCATTTGGAATTGGAAAAGTAAATCTTTGGTGGTCCAGAAGTAGCTACAAGCCAAAGGAGATAGATTTGGTTGCTTTCCCATTGCAACAGGGAAACACAACCCTGAAAATTAACCCTTGAGGTCATTTTGGATCTCAAATCTTCCCTGAAATCTCCTGCAGACTTCAGTTTTTGCTTTCTTCCCCTGGAAAGGGCTCCAAAATTGGACATTTACTCTGTGGCAGAGTTGGGATAGCTCCAGAACCCCAATATTCTTCCCCCCTGCCCAGCTGTTCCACCACTTTGTACCTCCTGCCATGGTCAGGTCAGAGGTGAAAAGGCTGCGGAAGGGAAGAGAGAACCTGACGCTGAACGGGCAGAGATTTCCTCCCGATAACGGTAGTGCAAGAGATGATGAAGAGCCGGGCTAATAACTAAGACTGCCTGCATGTTGCAGCTGGAACCCGTCAATGCCCGAGTGCCTCCTTAAAGCAGCCTTAAAATTATTGGCTGCCATTTCCAAGCAGGAGGCTGTTGAGTGTATCATAGCAACTCCTGTATCACTGTGTGGCTTGGGGTGGGGGGGGGGGGAGAGGAGAAGGGAAAGGGGAGGGAGACAGGAGGAATCCATTTCTCCTTAGCTGCAGTCCAACGCTTTTAAACTCTTGGTCCCTTAATAGATCCCAGAACGACACTTTGCTTCCTCCCGAGTTCTCCAGGTTCTTCAGGGGAAGGAAAATAACCTGTCACACTTCCCCATTTCTGCATCATTGGTGCAAAATGCAGATGCAAAATCCGCAGATGGTGTGCTTGAAGCTGCCTCTTTTCAGAAGATGGGGTAGATGACACTCCTTGCTCTTTTAATTTTATTTATTATTCTTATCGCTATCCCGGATCACTCTTTCCTGTCCTGACCGGTCTTTTCTTCTGCATCTTCTCCCTCCTCCTCCTCTTCCTCCTCTTCCTCCTCCTCCTCCTCTACCTCCTCCTCCTCCTCCTCTCCTCCTCCTCCTCCTCCTCCTCACCAGCTAGGTTTTGAATTTCACATGCCGAAGGGTGGTAGTGATGGGAAATCTCCACAATATTTTGGAATTAAAAGCTAGATAATGAACTCTCTCTGCCGCCGAGGAGAAGCCAAACCCACGAGGATTTGCTGCTGATCCCCTGATTCAGGCAGTGAGTAGAGAGCTGGCTTCACAATGTCCTACTCTTTCTGCCTGCAAGGGCTCTCTCTCTCTCTCTCTCTCTGTGTGGTTGTGTGCATGCGTGTTGGGGTGGGGGAGGAGTATCGGTCCATTGGAAGCTAAGAGAGACGCTTTCCTCTTAGGGGTCTTAAAAGCCGCATTCCTGCTGTCCCTACGTTCTTCCTTCTCGGTTCAGGATGTGCTCTGATTTCTCTTTGGATCTGGTCTTCAGTACACAGTCCGACTGCTGTGTATAATGACAGCAGGAAAATTGCCCCCAATTAATGTAAGTCTTTTTTATCCAGTAATGTTTATTTTAATGGGTAGAAGGCCCTGTGGGTGGCTTTTGTCTGTTCCTGTCTCCCCACCCAACCGCCCCCTTTGCCTTTTCAATATCTGCCCAATGTGAGGGGTGCTGGATTCAAGGGAAGAGGAGATGCTTCCGTTCTCTCTGTGCGGTGGGTGAACACGGCATGCTTGCTTGCTTGCCTGCTTGCCTGCTTGGAGGTGCTTCTGTGACCTGGCTTGCCTTCTCTGGGTACAGCTCTCTGGGAGGGAGGCAGATCTTGGGGGTGATGGGGAGGGAAGGATGGTGCTGGGCCTTTGGGCTTAATAACTGTGGGGTGGACAGGAGGGGAATTCAGTGTATTCCATTCACAAATGGAATAGAAGGGTGAGTTCTCCTGATCAGCCAAAGTAAGGATTCCTTGTGCAGGATAACTCAATTGCTTACTCAATTGTTGGGGGTGGTTGCTGGATTATTATTATTTTTTGTTTTTTTGGGAGGGGCTAGCTTGCAACAGCTTTAGGGGTTGGGGGCCTAAAGCAATTTTCTCCATTGTGAGAGAAATTCCTTCACTTTTTCTCATTGGGGTTGGAGTGGGCAGCGAAGCACCAGGACTCTCCAGTGGGCTCCTGCTTTTGAGCAATGTCCAGCGTTGAACCCTGGTGAGATGGTGTCCCGTTCTGTGGCCAGCCTCAGCCAGAGTTGATCCGTTTGGCTTCTTGTCAAGCTCTTCTTTCCAAGGAAATGCTGCCCTGCATCTGGAGCTGTAGTGATTTATTTGCCGTTGCCTAAATATAGATGGTCTTAGAAGCATTGGAGGAGGACTTGTTCTTGGACTCTTCCCTGGTACCTAACTTCTCCTTGGGGAAGAGGAACAATTTTATCCCCTAGATAACCAATTACTGGCAAATATTTTCATTCTTTATGGTTCTCTCTCAAATCTTGGCTTTTAGACTTTGCCTTGGCATCCCCTGTTGTGGGTTTTTTGTCTTCTCTGATTTTTTTTTTCTTTTCTTTTGGGGAACAGGAGCTTCTACTTTAATGGACATCTTGCTTCCCTTATATGTGTTGAACAGAGAGATAGAGGTTACTTCTTAATTAATGTGTGCTGAATTGTAGTCCCCAACTGCATTATTGAATTCAAGAGGTGTGAGGGTGATTTACAGAGCGTTCATGTTAAGGTAGTAAAAGAATATGCATTCATATTAGGCGTTTTTAAGACTGGATCTGTACTAAGCTGCTTCCTCTAAATAACGGCATTTCAGGAGAGTTTATTGTTGAGTTAGCAGTTGCGTTTCCTATGTAGTTTCATTCAGAATCTGTCTTGTCTGTTTAAGTTTTGAAAATCCTTTACAAGGTAGAAGAAGAGGAGAGCGTTCACTCAATTATTTCCATATTGTTAAATTAAGCTGAAATCTCACTCAAGAACATAGTTTTGGAGGATGGAATCTTGCATTTCAGTACTTTTTTTTTTAAAAAAAAAAGAATAATAAGAAAATGAGTGAGGCTGTTGAGCATGTATTGTGATGGAAATGAGAGACGTTGAGTAGAGTTTTGATGTGCACCTTAACAAAGTGAGTGCGAGGAAGCGCTGGTGTTTCATTGCAGCTCTGATCTTCTTCCGTCAGGTAACCCCCTGGGGTCCATGGGTGCTTTCTGGAAAGAAAGAAAAAACACCTGGGCCATATTGAGATGATGATTATTATTATTTTGCAAAGAGAAGCTGCTTCTGCTTTCAACCATCATGGTGACTCTTGGAAGGGAATGTCATAAATTGTTATCGTGGTAATTACTAACTGCCAATTCCTGGTTATATCTAGAAGAAAGGAAAACTCCCATTTGGGCAGAGATGAGGGAGGAAGAAGAGGAGGAGGAAGGCAGCCCCACTGTACTTTCACATCAAATATAGCAGTAACCTGAGATCCTTGTTTGGGAAAAGATGACAGTGTGAACATTACTAAAGAAGAAAGACAAGGGAAGAAGAGAAAAGGGCAGGAAAGCAGGTTTCTAAATGCTTCATTTCCCCATGTCATGGTTTCATTTGTGTTGCGTTTGGTATTTAAATTGAATTAATTGGATACTTTATTTGGCCAAGTGTGATGAGACACCCAAGGAATTTGCACCCCTGCTTTGGACTAAAACTTGGTTGCTGTTGATGCAAGGAAATTGATAACCTTTTCTCTCCACCAATGAATGCAGCATCACTTAGGGGATTAATCCTACTGACTATATCAGTTGACTTTGGAGAAATGTTGCAGAGCTTCAGGCTGAGGGATCCAAATGGTTGGCCTGGATTTCCGAAAACTGCTGGGGAATGAAGAGAGTCTGATTGGTCCCTTTCTCCTTTTTTAATCACTTGAAAGGATTATTTTTTGTTATGTCCTGTTTTGAACTCAGGCATTTGGGAACCAGGAACAGAAATAACTCCAGAGATTCATAGCCAAATAACATATGAGGGGTAGCTTCTTTCTGTCAAGGAGAGCTGATAGTTTTAAAATGATCTCAGCTGTTTGGATTGGAGTTTTGGGACAGGCTATTCGTATCCTGGAAAAATGTTGATGTGTCTGATTCTCCCTGCGCTTATCTATAGCAGGCTGAGTTTCAGTGCCTTGCCCCAAATGAGAAAATGCCTTTCCCAGATGTTTTCTGCTTTTGAGACTTAAAAGGGGTCAAGACTTGCTGTGGTTTGCCCTGAGCTGCGAGCACTCGATACGCTCGGATGAAGCTCCCTTTTAGGCTGTGCAGTCTTTGGAAGAAAACGCTCCAAAGGATTGCAAATTTAGGAAGTAGCCTTGGTGTGGCTAAGTTGGCATCAAGGAAGACTCAGGAAGAAGGGGAGATGGATTCCCCCCCC